TTAATATATTTGTTTTTTCTGCTCTATATTTGATGTGTGCATGTTTCATGATTTCATGATTTATTGATTTATATTTCAATTTGTTTGGGTAAGTAATCAACAATTATTTGATTATTTTTCACTATTATTTTAATATTTTTCCTAATAACACATACATTTAACTAAATTATCCAATAAATTTCTTTTTTAAAACACTAATGTTACAAGGAATTCATATTATAATTGCAATTTTTTTCCCCTAAATTATGTGCCCTTCAATTTTTTTATTTCACCATAAGTTTCACTACTTTTTATCTTTTCGATTTCATATATACATTCATATCAATAATTTAAAATGTGATATTTTATTACCTCAAAAAAAATGTACATCATATTTTTCTTTTATTTTTATTTTTAGTTATATTTTATAATTTTATTTTTTAATGTTATATTTTAATTTTTTAAATCTTATCAATATTTATAACCCATGTATTAGCACGGACGCATACTAGTATAACTAACTGTTACAAAAGGGGAACATTCTCATTGTCAATCCATTTCACAACTAACACAGCATCATGCATCACCACTAGTCTATTTTCTTTGCTAGTATAACTAACTAACATTACATGATTGTTAATGCTACTTAGAATAAAAAACCATAATGGCAAAGAAAACCCAAGAAAAAACAGGACCATTGAGAAGTTTCTTTCGTTCCTTGCACTCTTCATAAGCTCTATCCTCAATTGGCTCAATTCACTTTTCATTTCTTGCACATCTTCTTTGAAATTGTCCTTCTTCAATTGCAACTTCTTTTACTTTTTCTTCCAACATCTTCTTTTGCATCTCCATTTCTGTGATTATTGTGTCCTTTTCAAATAACTTGAACTTTAGTTCTTCAACATCATTGTTCAACTCCACCCACTTGAGAAAATTACACTGAGTGTCATGCTCACCAAATTTAACAACATAAATCAATTAAACCCTAATTATTACATATCAATTCTAATTAAACCCTAATCTAAAAAAATACAAAATTATTCAAATAATTGAACTTACAGGCCACTTTGAACACCCATAAAACTTAGTTACCATGTTATGCCCTTGCTTAATAGTGCGTATCTCAACATCTAAGCCACAAGTGCATTTGATTCTTCCTTGATTACCATGCCTTGATGTTGAAGATGACCCTAATGAGCCACTTCAAATTTGCCTTCTTCCACCAGACCTTGCATACACAATTAAAAATAAAAATTAAAAAAAAAATTCAAATACTGAAATTCTTCACCAGATATATCACGAAGGAAAAGAAAGAGATCAGGGGAGAGGGAGAAAGAAATTGGGAAAAAGGAGATTAAATAGCCTTTTTAAGCTAAAGGATTAAAATAATCCTAATACTAACTGTGAGTGACACGTAGAATCCGTAACCGGGTATTATAGGTGAAGTAACCTGTTGGCCATGTTTAAAGCAAAGACATGGCAAAATTCGGATTATTTTGAAATAATCGATAGTTGGGCTTATTTAAAGCGAATACAACAAAGTTGAGATTATTTTTTACAAATTTTCCTTCGCAATAAGCAACGAACTTTTTTTTTTTCAAATATAAGTATTACACTGACAATAAAAGAACATATTCATGTAAATATGATCTTTTCACTCTTTTTTGGTAAAAATATGTTCATTTTACTTTAGGTATGTGTTCATTACAATTTAATAATAATTCTTTTCACTATAGATGTATGTTCTTTACATTTGTATAATACTAGAGTGTACCCGTGCAAAATGCACGGAATATATAAGAAACAATATATTTAAAATGTGGAAAGTCGATTTTGATGTTGTAACTTAGGCCCTGTTCTCTTCACCTTAAAGAAATAATATTAAGTAAAAATAATTTCAGTTCAGTAAAAATAAGTTCAGTTTAATAAAATTAATTTCAGTTCAGTAAAATTATGTTCAATTCAGTAAAATTAAGTTTTCTTAAAGAAGAATTATGGCAAAAAAATCAGTAAAAATAATTTCAGTTCAGCAAATATAATTTCATTTCAGTAAAATTAATTTAATTTTAGGAAAAATAATTTAAGTTAAGCAAATATAATTTTGTTTTTGCAAAAATAATTTCAGTTTAGTAAAAATAAGGTGAAGAGAACGGGGCCTTATACTTGGGCTGCAATTAGGAATAGTAACGGATCGGATTTGGGTCGGATGTGGCTAAATCCGAATCCGATCCGTTTTGTAAACAGACCCTGGACTCGGATCCGAATCCGAGTCCGAATCCGATCCTACTCGTAATTTTCGGATCCGAATCCGGTCCGTTTATTCGGACCTCCGAAATGGTCCGAATATTTTTTTTTATTTTTATTTTTTGTAATGTCATATACCTATAATGGCTTGTATTGTCATATCAATTAAAGTATAAACATAACATATTTAAATTACAAACTAAGTTACATAACAAAATTTTGCTACAAAACAAGCAAATAATTGTCCCAAGTTATAGAGCATATGCTTATACTCTCGGATTTGAACTCGGATCGGACTCCGTCGGACTTTGTGTAGGGTCCAAGTCCGATCCACCTCCTATTCGGATTTGGATCTATTTTATCATATTCGAACTCGGACTAATTTTAAACGGATTCGGATCGGATTTTTTTTTCCTTTGGTTTGGATCGGATTCGAATCGAACTTGGATTAAATTTCCATCCCTAGCTGCAATAGTCGGTTTTGGACTAGTCGACTCTGTTGAACTCTACTTAGCGTTGCTCTAGTGAGTATTAATAATCGTATTAATAATATGCTAACATTTGTTTTGTCGTGCTGACACCCTGCTCTGCATATGATATTCCCTGCTTTGCTTAGAAGCTCAAAAAATAGGGTCTTACTCTTTTATGTCGGTGGCCACGCAATGTAGCTAACTATTATGGGGTTTACATTGTCAAAGTTATAGAGGTTACCGGTTTAGTGTTATAGGGGTTACTCGGGTTACTCAGTTAGTGTCATATGGGTTAGTGCCTTGCTTTAGGAGTTATATACTTTAATCTATTACAAATAGTTATTCGGTAAGGCCAGTTGCGCAAAAACGTGTTGTACTTTTTTTAAATTTTTTTTTATGATTTGAGAAGGGGATATTATTTAGATGGTAGTCCCTAAAAAGTGCATATAATTGAAGGGTTGGGGATTTAGAGTACTATAGTGAATTGCTGATAAAGGACCTGTATACTCGTGCTAATGCATAGTATATATATTATACTATGTACCAAAAAATACTTTTAAAGCAAATTGAAATGTTAGTACATATTGTTTAAAAAAAAGTGAAATGTTGGAGATTTTAAGTGCTATATTAGCATTTCATATATTATACTACGTACCAAAAAAAAAAATAATACAAAGTGAAATGTTAGTAGTAGTTCCTTGAAAAAAAAACAAAAACAGAAACAAAAAGGAAATATTGGATGGGTAATTATTGATTTTTTTAAAAAATAATGAAAATAAATAAATAAAAATAAAATAGTGGGAAAGGTAGTTATTTTTTTATTATTATTATTTAAAAAAAAAAACTAAATGCATGAGAATTGAGTATTGGGGTTTTGGGGGATTCTTGTGAAAGGTGTCTCTGTATTTATAATAGGAAAATCTGTCAAAAATAACACCACCTTTAAGCGGTCTTCCCTAAATAACACCACATTTTGATTATTCCACAATAACACCACCTTTGATACACATCTGCCAAAAATAAAACATGACCGGTTGGTAAGATATATAAAAGGTTACCTGTGACATGTGTCACACTATCAATGGTCAATTTTTTTAATAATTTTTTTTTAAAAGAAAAACCTTAAATTTTTAATTTTTTTTTTAAAAAAATACCTTAAAATTAAAAAAAAAACTAAAAAAAAAAAAGAAAAACCCTCCCACCACCGCCACCTACCAGGTTGCCACCACTGTCTGCGCCTGAAACCCCTCCCCCTGTGCCGGCTTAACGATTTCGCCGGTCGTCTGCACCCCCTCCCCCACTTAACCCACCACCAAAAGGTCGAAACCCTTTAATCCTAAAACCACTCGATTTTGGGGTTTTAGGGATTTTGGATGGTGGTTCAAAGGGGAAAGGAGGTGGAGACGGCCGGTGGGGGCCAAAGTGGTTTCGCTGGCACAGGGGAGGGGGTTCGACTGGTGGTCAGTGAGGGGAGGGGGGTTTTCGAGGGGAGGGAGAAGGGTTTTAGGGTGGATGAAGGTGGTTCAGGGGAAGAGGAGGGGCTGGGTGGTCGGGAACTCAGGCTGAGTGGTCAGGTTGTTACCGACGGTAATGATCTCTGGTCGTCGGCGGTGGTGGCAGCCCTGGCAGGTGGTTGTGGGGTTGCCGCCGTTAAGGGGAGGAGTTTTCCTTTTCTTCAGTTTTTTTTTAAATTTTTTTTTTAAAAAATAGGTTTTTTTTAAAAGTTTTTTAATTCAAGTTTTTTTTTTAAAAAAAATTTAACCAATCACACATGTGACATGTGTCAATTGTAACCTGTAAAGGTTTTTTGTTTTATTTGTGGCAGATGTGTATCAAAGGTGGTGTTATTGTGGAATAATCAAAAGGTGGTGTTATTTAGGGAAGACCGCCTAAAGGTGGTGTTATTTTTGACAAATTTTCCTTTATAATATAAATGTTCTTTCTTCGAGAAACGTCTATATAATGCATGGTACAGGTGCTTGTAGGAATCACTCACGTTTATCTTTATATATTAGTTATATACTCCCTCTGTTTTTAAATACTTGCTCCACTTTCCTTTTTCGATTTTTTTTAAATACTTACTCCATTTCTTTTTTTAGAAAGCTTTTAAAATACTTAATTCATATATCACACTTAGTGGACCCAACATAATAATCTCTCTCCTCCTATTTTTCCACTATTTTTGGTTTTTACAATTTTTTATTTTTTCAAATACCCCACTACCTCCATATTTTATTACTTTCTCCAATTTCCTCTAAAACTCCGCGCATAGATAAATGGAGCAGGTATTTAAAAAGGAGGGAGTAATTAGTATAGAACTATAGATAAAATAACTTCTCCCTCTTCGAAGACACTTTCGATTCCTTAAGCTTTTTGCAGATTCTACTGCACTATCGCACCCACCGCCGCACTTCTGCACTGCCTCATCGCTGCACTGCTGAGCTATCCCTACACCATCCATGTAAGCTTTGAAAATTTTCGTCTCCAGCAGTAATTTTATTGGAATTTGTCAGTCTAATTGCAGTGTATATTCATTCGAATTATTTAATTAAATTGTAGTAATATTCCAAATTCCAATCATAGTATTCATCGAATGACAGTAATTTGATTTTAATTTTAGGTAGATTAAACAAAACTACAAAGTTATGATTTTAGGGGATTAATTTATTCGATGTGTTTAGCGTAATCAATTCAACTGAATTGCAGTAATTTCAATCACATTATACTTTTTATATTCGAATAACATTTATTTCATCATAAATCAAAAAATGATTTTTGCTAAACTAATCGTAAAGGGGTTGGGAAACTGATTATCACTGGACTGTTGTATGCATTTGATACTCAATTAATTTCTTTGATAATCGATTTTAGGCATATTGCTAATAAAATTATTATTAATATTAATATATACTACTGTTGTTGTTGTTGTTGTTGTTGTTGTTGTTGTTGTTGTTGTTGTTGTTGTTGTTGTTGTTGTTGTTGTTGTTGTTGTTGTTGTTGTTGTTGTTGTTGTTGTTGTTGTTGTTGTTGTTGTTGTTGTTGTTGTTGTTGTTGTTGTTGTTGTTGTTGTTGTTGTTGTTAATTATTATTATTTGTGAAATTTGTGGACTATGTTGGTACAGTTAGGTTGAATTCTGAAGTTATTCTGGATAATGTGTTTTACATACCAGAATTTAGACATAATTTGTTGTCGGTAGGGAAGTTGTTGGATCATAATCAGCTCATTGTTGTTTTTGATCATGATTCTTGTTATTTTCAGGACCATGCTTCTAAAAGAGTACTGGCTGTTGGTTCAAGGCAATCTAGATTATATAGATTTTCTAAGTATGTAGATGACAGGAATTCTATTGTTACGAATTCTGTTTAGTTTGTAATAATGCTATTACTACAAATAATGCTAGTCCTAGTTTAGATGTTGTTCATGCTAGACTAGGGCATCCTGCAAGTGGTTGTATGAAACATATTCCAGTTCCATCATTTGGCAAATTGAATAAAACTCTTGATTTTAGTTGTGAAGCTTGTGAGTTAGGGAAACATCTTTCTAATTCTCATGCTGATGCTCATTTTGATTTAATTCATATTGATCTTTGGGGAAAGTGTAGGAGACCATCATTGACTGGAGCTACCTATTTACTTACTGTTTTTGATGATCATACAAGAGTTACTTGGACTTTCTTGTTAAAATTGAAAACTCAGGTGTTTTCTTTCAAAGAATTTTTCGAGTTATATTTTAACTCAATTTGGGGCCAAGGTGAAAGTAGTAAGGTCTCATAATGGTACTGAGTTAATACAAGATGCTTGTTCTGTTTTGTTTCTTGAAAATGGAATTGTCCAACAGAAGAGTATTCCTAGAAATCCACAATAAAATGGTAGGGTAGAAAGGAAACACAGACATCTTTTAGAGACTACAAGAACTCTCAGGTTGCATGCTGGTTTACCTTTCAATTTTTGGGGTGATTGTTTACTTTCTGCTACATATTTGATCAATTTGGTTCCTAGTTCTGTCTTGAAGTCGAGAACACCATATGAAATGTTTTTTGGTAAAGCTCCTGATTTTTCACAGCTCAAGGTTCTTGGATGTTTGTGTTATCCAGCTATTGATAAATTTTAAGCAAGGTCTACCAGGTGTGTGTTCATTGGGTATCTCTTTGGACAAAAAGGGTACAAATTGTATAATCTTGAGACTCACAAAGTTGTTTTAAGTAAGGATGTGCTATCTGTGGAATCTGAGTTTCCTTTTAAGAGTCAGAATCAGATTTTTTATTTATCTTCGACACAAAAATCTTCAGTAAAACATCTTGTTAATCCTGCTCTTGATTCTTCTCCAAATACTGCCACAAATACTTCTCCTCCTATTTCTACTTCCTCTTCTTCTCATACTTCTTCTGAAAACAATTCTTTTATGTCTTCTCCTAATAATACTCATTCTACTTCTCATTCTTCTTCTTCCTCTATTCTTATTTCCCATTCTGATCATATTGGTCAGTCTGATGACATGGTTAATGTCAATGTACCTATCAAACACTCTCTTAGACCACGTAAAACCACTTCTAAGTATAAGGATTTTGTTTTAGTAAAACCTTCTCAAAGAGCTGTATCACAGTCAGAATCAGATTCTTCTGTCTCTTTTAATGTGTTTGTAGAGCCATCTCTTGCTTCTCTTCATCCTAAGTCTGTTCATAGTTTGAATATGGTTATGTCTACCTATGAACCATCTTCTTATAAGCAAGCTAAAGATCATCCTGAATGGATTGAGGCTATGCCAAAGAAATACAGGCCCTAGAAGACAATGACACTTGAGAATTGACTGTTCTTCTTGAAAGAAAAAGAGCTATTGGATGTAAATGGGTTTATAAAACCAAATTCAAGACAAATGGTGAGGTTGAAAGGTGTAAGGCTCGTGTGGTTGCTAGAGGTGATAGACAAGTGGAAGGAAAAGATTATAAACACACTTTTAGTCCAGTAGCTAAGTTAACAACTGTAAGAGTTGTGATGGCTTTGGCTTCTGACAGGGTAAAGTCGTATCCCCTAATCAAAAATAATTACCTAAGTCCTCTAACTAAAGTAGATAGAGAAGTAGGGTTGAACTCCACAGGGAAACAAGTCTTTCTATTCCTAATTAATTGTTATAATCTAAATTATCTAAGTAACCAATATTTTTGTGAGTAAAATCTATACTACGGAGAAAAAGGTCGAAAGAAATAAAGTAGGGAAAAATCAAATATTAAAAGACCTAGGGCATAGGTTCACTAATAAACAATATTCCAGGGCAAATCATAATAAGCAATCATCAAGCATTGGTTAATCAGATTATAAAGGGTTTTCGCTACGTATTACAATCACAGAGTTAATTTACCGGTATTAAATCTCATCTGTCGAATCTCGACTTAACCATTTATAAATTAGTCCACCTATTGAAACTAAGCCTAAACATCAATTCTCATCTGTTGAATCTCGAATTAATATTGCTAAACTCATACAATTAAATCTGGCCAAACCTAATTGCATAACATTAAATCAATCAATAGGAAATTAACCAAGCATTGATAATTAACAATCACAAAATTACCCCTTCATATCATTTATTAGATCCCCATAAACCCTAGAAATAAAACTACTCACGCATCATCATAACTAAACTAATCAAATAAATAGATAAAAGCATAATAAAAGAAGTAAGTAAAATAGCTGAAATTAAAAGAGAAGAAATTGTTACCAAAAGAAATCTGGATTAATGGAAATAATTAAGAACAAAAGTTGAGAGAGAATTTAAGAGAGAGAAAAATTCTAAGTAGAGAGAGAGAGTCTAAGAAGGAAGGTAATAAAAAATTACGTACAAATCTCGTACTTCAACATTCCCTAAAACAAGAATTAAAACTAAACTAATCAGGTCCCATAAAAACACACGCTCGATCGGGCGAAGGGCCGCCCGATCGGGCCCGCCTTTTTCTTCACACTCTATCTGGGCAGCCGCGCCCAATCGAGCTAACGCTCACCCGATCGGGTGCACCTTCTTGCTGGTACTCTTCTATGCGCGCCGGCCTGATCGGGCGCAAGCTTGCCCGATCGGGCCCGGTCATCTTCTTCGAGGCTCGGATTTCGATTGGGCTCGATTCCTCGGCCCAATCTAAGTTTCCTCATCAGGTCTTGATTAAACGATCCACTAGCCTCGGTGTCTCGTACCGAGCCCTTAATCATCGGTTCTCACCGATCCTGGGCTTCAAAAGTGGCCATGTCCTTCTAGCTTCCGTAGTTGATCCATAAAGCCCGGGAAAATGCTCCAATAGTGCAATTTCCTGTAAAATACAACTAAAACTACGAAAACACTAGAAAACACAAATTAGTAATAAAAGTGGCTCGAAAGAGCCAAAAACACTACTAATTATGACCAAAGGACGGGGGTAAATTACTATATAAAATGGACATATCAAACTCCCCCAAGCCAAACCTTTGCTTGTCCCTAAGAAAAGAGCTCATCAATGAACATATAAAACATACTTCACCCCAATAATCAAAGCAAGCACGAACGATTCAAGGAAAACCTAATGAACATGCTTCAACATCAATCAATCTTATTCATCTAATCACCCTTCCTCCCCAACAATTTTCAAGTAGAGCAAACCACAAGAGCATATAGAATTCAAAACTAGTGCTCACACACTCAACTCTCATTTATGTGGAGAGTAAAAGATGTACTCGATCGCTCTCCAACCAACCCCTTTAATGTGAACAATGCCACCCATCTCACACTCTCGTGTGTATAAGAACAATGAACGCTCAACCTACTAGTCGACTCGAAATATGTCAAGTCATAACTTGCATTGATAAACAACACTTTCACATTTACACAACTTCTATGCACAAGGTCGGAAGGTCTTTAAAGCTTGTAATGTAAGACTAGGGTAAAGTGTAGGATAAATTTGGGAGTATGTGAGAGAAAAGCTATGCATTAAGGGAGCCAAATCCTAATAAACCCATGATCAAAATAAATGATGATCATACATCTCCATCAACATAACTAACTCCAACAAAAACCACCAAATACAACTCCAAACAATATAAATAATCCCAACACTTACAATTTCACTCATAAGAATATGATAATGTAGAACTTGAGTGAAAAACAAACTTTGAACTCATTCTTTTTCTTTCTTTTCAACTTGAATTTTTTTTCCTTTTTTTTCAACAACCTTCAAATAGAACATTTGAGCATTAAATTTTTTTCCTTTTGCTCTTTTTTTCTTTTTAACTCATATTGGAAATTTCAACTCTGAAGCACAACATCAATATTTTCCAATCAAAAATCAAAGAACAATAACTCTTCTTTTATTCCCACATTGTGCAAATAATGTGCACACCACAACTCCCTCACCTCACCAACTAATAGCTCCCCCAAGCCAAGCTTGGGACTAGTAACCAATGGGACTCATATAGGCTTGTAATGTGGCTAAATAAACAATGAAAGGGAACAAGCAACAACATGGGTAACAAGAAGGGAACAAATGCTTCTAATACTCTGAAGGCTACCTAAAAGAATGAACGCCTTCGTCCTCCCATGTGCATAATAACGAGTCATGAAACACTACTCATAGTTGCAAATCAATACTCAAATTCATAAACATACCAGGAATTATGGAACTATCACACATTTCCTAACCAAATCAACTAGTCAAGCACTATATTCACAAGTAGTTGGCAAAATTGACGCATGTTTAGGAATCCATACAATTAGACTTCAAATCTACAATGCTCATTATCAATAACCAAGAATCAAAACAAATTTTCTCAAAGTAAGGGGCACAAGGAAGCATGATTTACAATTCATTGGAACGTATTTTTGAATTTTTTATTTTTGAATTTTTTTTTGTATTTTTCATATATAAGAAAGCAATAAAAACTACACTAGGAAAGCAATAAAAACTACTAGAAAGCAAATAAAAAGAGAAAAGGAAGAGAATTACCAAGCGAAAGATCACCCCCCTAAGCCAAATCAAGCAATGCCCTCATTGACTTGGGAGTGTAGCCTACTCCTCATCCTCATCCATCCTCGAATAGCCCCCTCTGGGCTAGAACCGGCTCCTCCATGGCTAGAGCCACCACCTCCATAACCCGAACCACCTGCAGAGTAGTTAGGGTCCACACTCCCCCCAAGCCCACCAAAAGGTACATCGGTCCCATAACCATGGACCGATGAGTAGTCTACATAGGTACCGTAGGCACTTGGGTTCGTATATCCACCTTGCGGATATTGGAACCAATCGGGAACAAGTGAATCGGGGGGAATAGCCCCCCGACGGGCATAATCATCATACATGGGGTATAAACCCCTCCCGAGGTTCCTCTTAACATACCCCACCCGTCTATCTAGAGACCCTACTCTATACTAGTGTCCAAGTCCCTAACCATACCCTCAACTCTCCCTTGCCCCATCTCAATCCTATCTAATTGGCTCCAAAAAGACGAAAAGTCATAAGGGGCGTTGGGGTCAATGTTGTAGTTGGTTGAGAAAGTGGG